CGGTGACGACTGATATAGCACTGCGCCGCCCAAAGTCAGTCCAATAAGACGGTCGTACGACCCCACTCGCTACAGGATGGGTCGCACGACACCGACCTTGACTTCACAAGCCCAACCAGGCCACCGGGTGCCTCGACCTGGCCACCTAGGGTCGAGGCCTGCGACACCATGACCCAAGGAGGTGACCAGCAACACGAGAGCAGCCACCTGCTCCCCCACTATCACCACGATGCCAAGATGATGACGAAGGCCACGGCAAAACCACACGCGCACAGGACAGTTGGTGAACCACTACCATGACAACAGTGCCGTCACGACCAGCACTATAGCGCCACGCCATGCCACGCCACGGCATGGGGAGCAAGACCACGATGACCACGACGATGGCCATACCTAAACGAGCCAAGATGACAGGAGAAGATAGGATGGCTTGCTGGCCAAGTTTACTTGTTTCTCCCTCCCTTGGGCTCTCGACCACTCAGGTCAGGAGAATCCATCTCTCCACATGTAACATGGCCCCCGAACTCTATATAAGGGTGGCCAGGCCTCCCTTCAAGGAGGATGAACTCTCGAAAACTCCATGAAAGGTCCTAAATGGCTAAAGGAAGGTGAATAGCCTATAAAAATTTCTACAACAACACTTAAGCAAAGGTGGTTAGACAACTAAATGACGTAAGCAAGTTTTGCACTAGTCTACTAAAAATGCAAGCCACCTATCCATAATTCTTGCTATGATCACTATATCACACAAATGCTATGTTACTACTCTCTAAGTTAGTGAGCTCTCAAAGACTAACTAAAGAGCCTCACTAACCAAGCTAACAAGACACAAACTAGCTCTCAAAACTAGTTACATTAAAGAGCTTAGCTATACTAGAAAGTAAATACAAGAGAGGTAGAGAGGTTATACCATCGTGGCAAGTGACAATCAATCAATATCAATGAAATCCCGAAGACAAGATGACACAATGATTTTTCTCCGAGGTTCACTTGCTTGCCGGCAATTTAGTCCCCGTTGTAGCAATTCACCCACTTGGAGGTTCATGCGCTAATAGGCATCACACGCCTAAGCCGCAATCGGGTGTCGCACAACCAACACAAGATGGGGATCCACAAGCATGAGCAATCCACTAGAGATGCCTTTAGTGATCTCCCACGGGGAAGGCTCAAGAACCCCTCACAATCACCACGATCGGAGCCGGAGACAATCACCTTTCTCCTCTCGACGATCCTCGCTGCACTAAGCCATCTAGGTGGCGGCAACCACCAAGAGTAACAAGCGAATCCTGCAGCGAAACACAATCACCAAGTGCCTCTAGATGCAATCACTCAAAGTAATGCACTTGGATGCTCTCCAATCTCATGAAATGATGAATCAATCAAGAAAGATGAGTTAGAGAGGAATGGCTAAGCTCACTAAGTTGTATTCTCAATAGAAATGGCCAAGAGAGTGAGCCCAAGCCGGCTAAGCTCTATTTATAGAGCCCTCAAACAAATAGAGCCATTAGGGTCAAGAAGGAGCTCTCTATGCGCTGAACGGACACGCTGGTCGGGGCGATCGGATTCACCCGAGCCAGCGTGATGTAGACAAGACCCGATCTTCTGATAGGTACGATAGCGTCGATTGGTGGAGACTCGACATTCATGATCTAGGCTTCGAACCAAGACTGATTCGGACCCCCACAACCATTACACCACTGCTTCATTGGTTATCAACCACGCGAACGCGATTGACCTCGCCAAGAAAGCTTTCCTGCAAGCGAATCGAGAACACAAGCAAGAACGGGATGAACGCAATCTGAAATTGCAAATAAATATGAGGCTTATGATAATGAAAAGGAGTTCAAGTCTTTATTCGAAAAGACTAATCGCCACAGGCGAACAAGATCAAGAACTGGGGCCCTTGTTCACAGCAAGCAGCCTTGACGGCACAGTTGCAGCAAAACGATATCTGTTTCATGAGGAAATCAAGAACTAAACAAAACCCAAACCCTAAGGAGAGCGACGGCTGCTAATTATAGAGTCTTGGGCGTCACCCCCTAGACGCGCCCCCTAATGGGCCCAAACACGATACACGGTCTAACGGACCAAAAGACGGTGTCGCAGCACCCTGGTAGATTCTGGATGCTGACTTGTTTTGACGATTTCCGTTGATTCTAAAGGTCTTTTGATGTGAGACCACTTGGATTGGCTTCCTTATCAAATTAGCTTTCCAACCATATGTGGATCGTCGAAAATAGAGTTCGGATGTGTCCTAGGTGACCAGTTTAAGGCAGACTGGTCCTAGAGGCCGAGGCAGACTCGAACTTGAGTTGCTTTGGGCCTCCACCTCGGGGACTCGAACCGAATTAGCCTCGGGCCCCCTTCTTAACTTGGACACCCTTTCTGGCCTCCTACCCCTCCATACCATGCACCAAACATGGTCATATGCATGGGTGTCATGTCCTCATCATCCTCCCCTTCTTGACGAAAAGCCGTCATTGGCGTCGATTGTGCTTGAAACTGATCCTGCATAACATAAAGGAGAACGGGGTTGCGAAGACAAAGGGAACTGAAATAATTGTGAGAAGGAACATGACCATGTTTCCAAGTTTCTAGCTTGTCATATCGCATAAAAATTTCAGCAAGCATGTAGACTCTATGATCTGAATGCACACGATGTATGTCAACACTATCCTACAAAAGATTAGAACTAACCAAAGATAATGGAGGAATAGATGGTCTAGCAGACATAGGTAGCAACCAACAATGCTCCCCATCTTAGAAGTGAACTTATTTCTTTGAGGAACATGAGAAAATGTTTGTATTATTATGGCTGCCCTCTAAACGATCATAATCTTGTACAACAAAAGGAGAATTCATATTACTACGAACATATACTCGATCTATCATATATTGCCCTTTGTTGTTATATTTGCCAATAACATGATATGTGTGTTTAGAAAACCAAGGCAAATCAGCATATTTAAAAAGGCTCTCCAAACAATCTAGGTTACACAAAACATCAAATTCAATGTAACCTAAAGTATGTAAAGAAGACAACAGTTTGAGCTCATCGGTTTTAGTAGCAATATGAATAACATGTTTATTTTCAGCACAAGTGATTGGTTCTAAAATATGTAAAACTGAAGCATCATCAATCAATTCATCTTTATCACAAGGAGCATCAAGCAAATTATCATGGGACAAAGATAAATCAAGAGAGGGTTCCACTAATAATTGCTCTATGATAGCATGGTTTGTGAAAAAAATTAGTGCATTAAAATAATTCTCACCTTCCATGAGTGTAGCACCATGGACATTACCTGTGTTCTCAGTAGGAGTAATAGGTGCATTGTGAAGTGATGGTTCTAAATTTGCATATGAGGTTGTGAGCTCCTCATTTGCTTCCATGTCATCCTCTCGCTTATGTACATTATCCTGCGGAAGGTTAGTCATAGCAAAAGGAATAACAATAGACTCTTCCTCTAAATGGTGCACCTCAGCATATGAAGTCAAAATAGGAGGTGGATTAACAAAGGTTTCTCACATAAGGATTTTCATATCATTCCAAGTTTGAGGTTTATCAGAAGAATCTAAAGACTCCCACCAAGATAAAGCAGAATGTCGTAAAACACTAGCTGCATTTTTTACCTTCCTCCTTGGACACATAAAGCGAGTAGCAAATATGTTATCTATGACAATTTCCCACTCCATGTACTCATCAGCACCTATACCATCATAAGTCGGTGGATACGAACAACCTGTCATTGTTAGAAGACAGCAAAAGACAACACAAAAGTATTATCCCTATCAGCTACTATAGGATGTCGTCAAGGAGTAAAGTCACACACTCTCAAGCGTGTTACTACGATCTTACAAGTGTTCTTACCAAAGCAACAGGCGGTGCAATCGGTCGGTGACTGTGATACCGTTGTAGCTTGAGTGTAACAGTTGCAAGGCGAACCTATACTTGGTTAGAAGAAAGTGGAGCTTGGACAGACACAATATAGTAGCAAGGAATAGCAATAATTTAATTCAGGAATTATAAGATTGAAAAGTAGTCCCAAGCTAGTCTATGTTGCTGGCCTAAACTCGTCCTGGACCTAGTTCAAGCAAGCTACAATACAACTCAGCACAAAGACTCAAAAGAATGCAAGCACTTCTGAATTTTTCTTCACTTTCTATTTTTTTCTTGTTCTTTCTTTTTTTTGGTGCGGCTTTTTTTCTCTTTTTTTGTGCACCTTCTGCCTTTTCCTTTCCTTTCTTTTGTTTCTCAGAAGAATGCTGCAATACAAACTATTTGAACACACAACTTGATATGCTCAAAGCTAGGCTGATAGAGTTATAGATGCACGAGCAGCACAGCTCAAAACCACTTAGTTCTATGCAAAGTTTTGCTAGGCGCTAGGCTAAATCTAGGCGATGACCCTTAGCCTAGCGACTAGTCCAGCCTAGGCGATGCTAGGCGTTTTTCTAGGTATTTTGCCAATTTATATTTATATATCAATATATAATATATACAATTATAGGCTTATAGCACAAATCATGAATAATTTAGATAAAAAATAGGGAAGGACTAGTAGACATACCTTAGGTCCTTTGTCCTTAGTTGTAGTTGATACACTACTAATCACTGAATTTCCTGCAGCACTGCTGCAATAGAAGTGGACAACACTTTTAGATGCAATTGGGCATCAATACAAGTGATACAAAAAATAGGAAATAGCAAGTTAGGTACTTATCTGAGGTCTAAGCCTTCTCCCATCCATTATCAGCATTTCAGCAGCATAGGATAGCCTTTTGAAATCACAAACATGAAGGGACAGCAGGCAGTAACATAGAATATAAAATGGATAGTAGACTAGCAGTACATTACATCACATGATTGATGATTCTCAGTTCTCACAACACAAAACACAAGCACACAGCAGGAGTTCTAAGTTCATAAGTTAAAGATACATGGATGCATAATAAAAGCTAAAACATGACATGAAGGCATGAAGCTGTCTCACACTTCTTCAGTAGGGTTCATCCATCACATAGTCATTCTCATCTTCATCAAACTCTTCTTCTTCGAACTCAAACTCTTCTTCATAGAGCTCTCTCACCCTTGCACTTCTACGCAGCTCTAGTTGTTCTTCTGCTCCCACTGCATCTCCAAGCATAGACCAAGGTATCCCTATACCTTCCATGAGTTCTTCCTCATCTTCCTCATCTCTAAATACAACTAATGCACAATCATCTCCATTCTCTTGGAGGAAACCTTGAGCTTCAGTTGTATCACTAGACAAGAGAACATCAGTAATTTTCTTTGACTTGATCTTTGCTCTCTTATTAATCAGCCTGTTGTTGAATTGAATGTAGACCAACTTGTTAAGGCGGTATGTAGTAAGCCTATTTCTCTTCTTAGTGTGCACCTATAAATTAAAAATAAGAGCACTTTTAGTTCTGCAATTTAATTGTAATGCTGCTGAAATTTTGATAATAGATAGGTACTAACCCCATCAAACCCACTCCAAGTTCTTTTACAACCAGAAGAACTTGCTGTTAAAGATAGGATCTTGGTAGCCATCTTCTGTAGAGCTGGTGTTTCAGTTCCGTAAAGCCGCCACCATGATGCTGAAATAAAAAACCTCTCTATTAGTTAGTAGGCACAACAGATTTCTTGATAGATGAACACAACAAACAACCATGTAAAATCAGCAAACAACTTTTACCTAGATTATAATCAAAGTTTTCAAAAATCCTTGCAAGCTTCTTGCTAAATGGTCCTTCTCTATTATGATACTTATGGAGTTCAATGTTGGCAGCTTGTTCTTGCATGTCTTCATCATGATAATAAAAAGTCTCCACACAACTGATAAATCCTTCTGTCATTTTGGGAGCATCAAAGATTAAAGGGTCAGCATAACTGTAGTGTGGATTCAACAAATAAGCTGTCAAATGCAATGGAGAATCAAGTCTTCCAGCCATTTTCTTGTCAACAACAGCAATAACATCCTTGAAACGGGACTCATTATTGCCAAGGGCCTCTTTGACCTGTCTCTTTGCCTTTAATAGTTCTCCATATACAAAACCCATGGACGGCTTCACATCTCCATCAACCAAATGGAGAACTTTGAACAATGGCTCAAAAACAGCCAATGTCAACTTCACATCCTTCCAAAAGTTTGGATTCAATATAGTTGCTGTGGCATTTTTTCCCTTCTTTGATTTCACATCCTTCAATGAGTCCCACCTACTATGCACCACCATATTTCTTAGTTGGTCCTTCTTCTCTTGTATGCTGTTCAAAGTCAAATAGTTTGAAGCAAACCTAGTCACTCCTGGCCTTACTATCTCTTTGCCTTCAGTGAAGTACCTCATGCACTCTAGTGTTCTTGTGTGCCCATAGACAAATATGGTGAATGTCTTTGCTTGGTCAATCACCTTCTTGAACCAAGCCATGTTGCCAATTCCTTGGAGCATCAAGTTGATTGTGTGAGTTGCACAAGAGGTCCAAAAGATCTGTGGTCTCTTCTCATGCAGTAGCTTCTTTGCTCCCATGTTGTTAGAAGCATTGTCAGTCACAACTTGCACCACATTATTTGGACCAATATCTTCGATTGCTTTGTCCACTAGTTCAAAGATGACTTCACTTGTGTGTGACACATCTGACATCTCTTTTGAGGAAATAAAACTGGTTCCATCAACACAATTAGTGCACACATTCATTATGCTTTTCCTCTTCTTATCTGACCAAGCATCGGTCATAATAGAGCACCCATTCTTCAACTTCTCGGCTTCACGTTCTTGCAGCAAACTCTTGGTTCTTGCATATTCTTCTTCTAGCAATCTTCCTCGCAGGTCAAACATAGTTGGAGGTTCAATTCCAGGCCCAAATTGTCCAATTGCTTCACACATTTGCTTGAACTCATCATTGTCACATGCATTGAATGGTATTGCTGTCAATGTTACAAAAAAAGGAAATTAGTGTTTAGTTCAGTACTACAGCAAGGCATCCAATGAAATTGAAATCTGAAATAAAAAAACAGCAAGGAAATTACCATGGTTATAGGCCCATCTTGCAATATATTTATGCACCTCATGTAATCTTTCTTTCCAAAGTTCCTTGTTCAGCTTCTGTTGAGTGAAAGATTCAGATTTGGTTGCTTTAGGATCAATAGCACGCGTCCATTTGTCAATGGGTCCTAATTTGTGAGGCTCTGAACTTCCAATACAAGTGACTTCTTCTGACTCTCCACCTCCAACCCGAGAAACATTCACTTCCTCTCTAAGTTCTAGTTCACGAACAATCTTCTCCTCCCTCTTCCTTTTTGCATCATTTAGTGCTTTCTTGCACTTCTCTTTAGCCTCCAGAGCCTCCGGTGTTCTGGCCTTGCATTTCATCACATTCTTTCCTTCATGGGCCACATGTTGCTTCAACCGATAAATCCCTCCTTGCATCACCTTGTCACATAGTTTGCACTTCACCTTGTCCTTGTTGATAGCATCAACAAGAACCCCATATTCCCATCCCACATCATCCGAATTCCTTCTCAGGAGATTCGCTCCCTCAGTTTCAGGTGCAACCTCTGTTGTCGACATCCTATACATATACATACATTCAGATTTCAGTGACAATACATTCAGAGTTAAGTGAACATTCAGGCAATACATACATGTAGCAAATCAGCTAAAAAAATCAGTCACACATCCTACAAATGATTCAGTCAAACAAAGATACATACATGCAGTCAAACAATGTTTTTTTAAAAAAAAGTGCTAGCTTGAACCAAGAGAAAATTCATGGTAACTGCTTGGTCAATTTGTTTATCAAATAAGAATCATCACTTTAGAGCACTCCTACCAAGTTCAGACTGCGGCATGTTGTCATTGCAGCATTCACTTGCTTAGTAGTGCGGATCTGATCAATACTCCTACCAAGCAGTTAGGGAACAGAGGAGAGGAGCAGGAGAATAGAGGAGAGGAGCAGGGAACAGAGGAGAGGAGCAGGGAATAGAGAGGAGAGGAGCAGGGAATAGAGGAGAGGAGCAGGAGAGGACCTTGGGCCTTGGGGCTTCAGTTTAGGGAGGACGAGACCGGTAGGGCGGAGCGCCTGGCGAGATGAAGAGACCGGCGGGGAGGAGCTTCCAGGCGGGGCAGAGCGCGACCGACGGGACCACGAGCTCGGTGTGGAAGAGCGCGGCCTGTGGGACCACGAGCTCGGCAGGGAGGAGCGCGACCGACGGTACCACGAGCTCGGCGGGGTGGAGCGCGGCCTGCGGGACCACCTACCCAACGAGGAGGAGCGCAGCCGGCGGGAGCAGCTTCCCCGCGGGGTCTCAGGGAGGTGAGCGGCCGTCGGAGAGCTTCCTAGAAGCAAGCAGGCACGTCCTTTTCCCCCTTCTCCCTCTTATCCTTCCTGCGCCCGAGCCTTCTTTTCCCACGCCCGAAGCCAGCTGCGTGCGCGTGGTCGCTCGCGGCGTCAATTTTTCGCGCGCTCGGTCGCCGCGACCGCCTCTGCGCCACCTAGAACGCTTCAACCCCGCCGAATCGACGCCGAGGCGCCGCCTTGCGCCGCCAAGGCGCTCCGCCCGCCTAGGGGTCCGCCTACCCCCGTAGGCCAGGCGGAACCCCTCGCCTTGCGATTAGTCGCGCCTAGGTGGGGATGAGGTGTCGCCTTTTCGAACATTGGTTCTATGTGGTCGATCAAGGAAAATTCTTGGGCTCTCAATGACAAGGAGGGAAAGCGGCTGATTTTTATGGAAATAAAAGATATCACTTGATGCACTAGGAGCAAACCACAACGTAGCATGATAAGTTTTGTTTGGCGCAAACTAGCAAGGCAGCAACATGTTCGAAGGACACAATAAAAAAAGGATTGACCTTTTGCCTTCTAGCGCTTTGAAAGGAAACCAAAATATTTTATTACTCAAATACAACTCTCTCCTTCCTTCTCTGACATGGATTAGTAGATGCAAATTCACTATCTGCACTTTGCGTAAAACAGATGCACAACCACTCGACGATCAGATTCACACGACAACAAAGATACTAGATCAAGACTCAAATAAACCAACGAACACGAGGACACACAAGGGATGACCGTTCAATAATGCAAACTGAAATTATAATATTGCTACGGCACAAAGGGGCTATAGGATAAGAAATATGTGGCAGTATATATTTTTTAGCTTTTTGTGGACTCTAGGTAAAGCAAAAACAGTAACAATCTAAAGGGGAAAAACAAAGTTATACCTAACGGGCAACAAGGTCTCTAATACCACTTGATGTAGACAAGGCCCGATCTTCCGATAGGTACGATAGCATCGATTGGTGGAGACTCGACGTTCACGATCTAGACTTCGAACCAAGACTAATTCGGACCCCCACAACCGTTACACCACTGCTCCGTTGATTATCAACCACGCGAACGCAATTGACCTCGCCGAGAAGGCTTTCCTGCAAGCGAATCGAGAACACAAGCAAGAACAAGATGAACGTAATCTGAAATTGCAAATAAATATGAGGCTTATGATAATGAAAAGGAGTTCAAGTCTTTATTCAGAAGGACTAATCGCCACAGGCGAACAAGATCAAGAACTGGGGCCCTGGTTCACAGCAAGCAGCCTTGGCGGCACAGTTGCAGCAAAACGATGTCTGTTTCACGAAGAAATCAAGAACTAAACAAAACCCAAACCCTAAGGAGAGCAACGGTTGCTAATTATAGAGTCTTGGACGGCACCCCCTGGACACGCCCCCTAATGGGCCCAAACACGATACATGGTCCAACGGACCAAAAGACGGTGTCGCAGCACCCTGGCAGATTCTGGACGCTGACTTGTTTCGATGATTTCCATTGATTCTGAAGGTCTTTTGACGTGAGGCCACTTGGATTAGCTTCCTTATCAAATTAGCTTTTCAACCATATGTGGATCGTCGAAAATAGAGTCCGAATGCGTCCTGGGTGACCAGTTTAAGGCAGACTGGTCCTAGAGGCCGAGGCAGACTCGAACTTGAGTTGCTTTGGGCCTCCACCTCGGGGACTCGAACCGAATTAGCCTCGGGCCTCCTTCTTGACTTGGACACCCTTGCTAGCCTCCTACCCCTCCATACCATGCGCCAAACATAGTCATATGCATGGGTGTCATGTCCTCATCACAACGTCCGGTCAAGCATCGACTGCCACGCATCCCTTGTGTTTGACCTCAACCGCTCGATTCCAACAGTCAACTATTTAAGTTAAGACCAGACGCACCGAGGCATGACCGGACCCGCCCCCACGGCGTTCGATCGCGCACACGCCTGAGTCATAGTGCCTGTGACTTCACGCGCCACAAGGTGACCGGACGCCCCAGCACTTGGAGTACGGTCGAGTCCAGTAAGGCACCAGAGAGGTATTTTCGTGACCTAATGCGTCCGGTCAGCGGTGACCGGGCATAGTTAGCGTCTGATCTCTCCCTCTTTCATTTTCGCGCTCCACGTCACAAGGACTGGACACAGGAACAGTGTTCCAGCGATGTCCGGTCATTCTCCTCCTCAGCATCCAATCTAAGGCTGAGCGTGCGCCCTTCTCTGGGCGCCACTGATCGGATACAGGGTCAGGGTCCGGTCACTGCCCAAGGCAGAGTCTGGTCCCTACGCAACTCCTTTTGACCCCAAACTTCACCACCCTTGCTCAAATGTGCTAACCACCAAGTGTATCACCTTGTGCACGTGTGTTAGCAACTTTTCACAAACATTTTCAAGGATATTAGCACTCACTAGAATCTAAATGCATATGCAATGAATTAGAACATTTAGTGTCACTTTGATAACCATATTTCACGACGAGTTTCACCCCTCTTAATAGTACGGCTACCTATCCTAAACACACTCACACCCACTAGGTATCTTGAGTGCCAAAACAAAAAATGCTCCAACCAATTATACCTTTGCCTTGAGACTTTTTGTTTTTCTCTTTCTTCTTTTCCAAGCCTTGAGCACTTGATCATCAGCATGGCCTCCACCATCATCATGATCATCATTCACTTGCTCCACCACTTGGATTGTACTTAACATATCTTATATTCACTTAGAGTCAATAGGTTAGTACCTAGGGTTTTCATCAATTAACCAAAACCAAACTAAGGCTTTCACTCCATTTGGGCTTTCATTCACCTGACTACTCCTACCTCAATCCCTTAGCTTACACACCCCCATTGTAAGACTTCAAAGCACTTGAACCGAGGAACACGAACTCGCTATCGTCTCTGAGACTGGACGTAGGGCTCTGGACTGAACCAACATAATTCATTGTGTCTTTGAGTGCTACCATCGTCTTCCTAGAACAGCGTGACACTCATAAATTCACTCGTTGGTTTACAAAACACCGACATCTGGTTTCTCGAAGTTTCTAGGAGCTTTCGGCTAGCATACAGAAACGCATCCGATGGTGCTTAAGAGTGAGGGCCCCAATATAGCGATACACATGTCGTTAGGGCTAAACAGAGCGGGCTCAGTGCGCTGCGTGTGTGAGTGCGTGAGGTGAGGTCGCTATCACGCGTGGGTCATATAGATGGCTTTCTTGGGTCAGGTATCCGAGAAAGAACGCTAAGAGGGTATGTCTTATAAATTTTACAGGGGTGTCATCTTATTGACAAAGTGAGCACTGATCATCTTTATTCGCATTATTACCATTGTTTTAACGAGTCACTCACACCGGTACATCCTTGGCTTTTATATCACTAGTAGAGAAAATGACTTTCTGTCGATGGCTAAAAAACATTTAGTCCCGGTTTCAAATTGCAAACCGAGACTAAAGGAGGCATGTGACCTTTAGTCTTGGTTTGTAATACAAACTGTGACTAATTCCACTACCGGTTTATAACGGTTATCGAGACGTGTCAGTGCCAGAAGCTTTAGTCCCAGTTTGAGACACGAACCCGGATTAAAAGTGTGACTTTTAGTCCCGATTTGAGACACGAACCCGGACTAAAGGTACCTTTAGTCCCGGTTTGTGTCTCAAACCCGGACTAAAGGTGCCTCCCGAATGAATTTAAAAGAAAAGCGTATCTTATCTAAGTTAGATGTGTGGTGGAAGTTGAGATGGCAATGCGCACAACCACTAAAGTGGGGGTCCTTGAGTTCGAATCTCCACAACCGCACCTTTTTTTAATCCAAAAAATACCTCTAGTCCCGATTGTAAGAACCGAGACTCTACAATCGGCCTTTAGTCTCGGTTGTAAGAACCTCATGTCATTTGGTCTCGATTGCATAGTCTTCATTTTGGAAATCGGGACTAAAGGTGTTGGGAACGGGACTAAAGCTAGTCTAGTGTATGCAGGAACCCAGGTGCGTCTGATCCACATGTACAAAACATGCTTGGTTAGACATGGATCCCAGTCTCGGGCCATCAAAATCAAACGATTGACGACGTTGCAACTTTTTGCATCTCTGAACAAAACCGCAATGCATAGCCCGAATAGCGGTGGCTGACCATATGGTCGTGACGACCCATGCCAGGGGCTCAGGGCAGTGGTGGATCTTTAGCTATGGGGCCAACTGCCCTCGCAACTTTTGCCAAAATATGTTTATACCTCTTATAATTTTTGCAGTTATATATGTTGATGATGTTCACTAACGTAATAAAATAAAATCGATAAGCTTTTTGTTCCCACAGGCGTGGACAAGTGTACGGCATCGGTGTGCACTGGCGCACGTCCACCTAGCCGCATGCTCTGCTGCATATGCATGCCTCGTCAGTAGACCCGGTGCTACTCGAGTCTTTGCTTGTGCAGGATTACTGGATTAGAGGGCGCAGATCGATGCTTACGTGCCGTGGCGGGGTCAAGCATGAGCAGGACAATTAACCTGGCTGGCTGCATGCGCAGGCGGGATGAAATCCATCTTGCCGATACGTGTCAGTCTGGTCTGTGGTAGCGAGAGGCGATGTGATCTGTCCGCGATAAAATCTTGAGACTTTTCGTCGTGTGGCATTATAAAAGATCGTAATGCTGTGTGTGCCTTTGGAAAAATTTAGCGGTCTTTAGCGTCACTATTTTAATTTTTTCGGGTCCTCTATGCCACTTCCGTCAGTTCAGTCTTTAACGCCGTCAAACCGTAGATGTGAAAAGACGAAAATGTCCTTAAGTTCAAATGTGTTATTAATTTTTTTGAGCATCTTAACGACTTCAAATGAAAAAACTCAAAACTAGAAAGTTGTAGATCTCGCCGAGATCTATAATATTTATATACAAATTATTTTCATTTAATTCCACAAAAAAATATGATTTGATATGATTAATATATCTTAGAAAAATCATCATATTTTTTTTGCGAAATTAAATGAAAATAAATTTTATATGAATATTATAGATCTCGGCGAGATCTACAACTTTCTAGTTTTGAGTTTTTTCATTTGAAGTCGTTAAGATGCTCAAAAAAAATTAATAACATATTTGAACTTAAGGGCATTTTCGTCTTTTCACACCTGCGGTTTGACAGCGTTAGAGCCTGAACTGACGGCCCGAAAAAGTTAAAGTAGTGACGCTGAAGACCGCTGAATTTTTCCTAAAACACACAAAGGATTGCGATCTTTTATAATGGCAGCATGGAAAATTCTCTAAAATCTTTGGGACCGGTGGCATTATTGTTCGCAATCCCATCCCGGCACGATAAAATCTTATGGCTACACGTTGCAAGTTGACTAGGCAATAACAGCCTAGCAATGGGCTGGCAGTGGCAGATGCACTGAACAACACACCACACCCACATGCCTCATTGCCATCTCAACAGAAGGCCGCAAAGGAAACAGGGCTCCTGACCACCGTAAGCAATGGTATGGTCTGTCTCGTCCCTGCGGAGGCACCCCCGCGCGCGGATATATAAGCGCAAGCGCAAGCGCGCACGGCACTGAATGGTCACACCAGCCCCAGCACCACCCTGTCCTCCCAGAAAGACGCACGCAACAACACTGGTGCTGCAGATTTGGTACCTCAGCTCGCCCGGCTTCGGATCCCCACCACCACCGCACCTGCATCGATCGATCTCATCTGTAGTAGCCGACCCTCGTCACCATGGACCTGCACCACATCGAGGACGTGAGGGCGCGGGACCATCAGCACCAGCTCGTGCTGCGCGAGCGCGGCCGGCGAATCAAGGCTGCCGCGGAGCTGGGGCTGGCGCGCTCATCGGCATCGCGCGGCCGGCAGTGGGGCCGTGCGCTGGGCCGCCGCCGCCGCGCCCTCGTTGTGCCCCCGGAGGAGGAGACCTCGTCGACGGGCAAGCGCCAGGCGCCGAAGGAGGCGACGCCGCCGCTGCAGGGGCGACGGGATCATGGAGACGAAGAAGGAGATGATGATGAGGTGGTGGTGGAGGAGAAGGTGGCGCTGCTGCGGCAGCTGGTGCCGGCCGGCGAGGACATGGCCGTGGAGGGGCTGTTGGAGGAGACGGCCGGCTACATCGCTGCGCTCAAGGCGCAGGTCGGCGTCATGCGCACGCTCACCTGCCTGCTGCTGTCCGGTTCCGATCTCGACGCCGTGCTGCGGCCACAGCCGGCAGCTGGCGTCCTCACGCCGGAGAAGGCCATGTGAGGTTGACAGCAACGAGCGTCGTCATTCCTGGCCTTTCTCGCTTTCCCCTAGTGAGACCGTGACCGCCAGCCCCAACACGGGCAACGGCCTTGTGTTCATCGCGGAAAAAGGTTCAGTTTTGTCCGAGGGCATGGAGAGGAAGGAGCAAGTGCGCCACGGACCGAGCACGCTGGTCCTATCAAACTAGGCCGGGCATGCTTGATGATCGGAGCACATGGGCCATAGCTCGTGTAAATTTTCGTACTACTGTGAATTTTTAGGGGTAATTTTTCCATCCTCGTTGTTTTCGAGGTGCTTTTCCCACGTGGAACAGTGGATCGGGAGTTGATCCATCCTACGCTAGGACCATGTTTAGTTCATCCAAAATCCGTTTACTTCGTCCAAAATTTAAACTTTTGCACTATGCAAAATGAAGATTTTCCGTCACATCAAATTTACGGTACATGTATGGAGTACTAAATATTGACGAAATCAAAAACTAATTGCACAGTTTGATTGTACTTTGCGAGACGAACGTTTTAAGCATAATTAGTCAACGATTGAACAATTATTATCAAATAAAAACAAAACGCTACATTGCGCTACAGTGCTATCGAATTTAGCGGCGCCGAATCCGGCCGGAACTAAACGCGGCCTAGGATGCCATCACGGGCCTGTAATCTGCGATCATACGATCTACGTAAATTAATACACTACTACTCCTGCCACTGAACTTTGTAGTACTATACCAATTTGCAAGGTGTACGATCCACCGGATGGGACCCCTCTGATTTCAGCATCGGTTTGCAGGAGTGCGACAAAAACATGATAGGGCAGAGAACGCTCGTTACTTTGGCAGCAGAGGAGAATTTTCCCCGGGAAAATAGCCCTACGGATGGAAATTTTTGGACTTCTCATTCCCGCCTTTTCCCAGGGCAGGTAGCAACGCGTGGGGGTAGTTTCCGTGTTGCCATTTGGCAACAGGGTGTCCAGCGCAGGGAAATTAAATAAGGACAGCGTACGTGTCCAGTGTCCAGTCTTGCAGCCAAGCCAAAGTACGTTTTCACGACCGGAAATACACAGATTTTTTTTTACTGGGAATACTTCAGCCAAAGTACATGCAACAAAATTGAAAACAATGTCTTAGAAAATCAAGAAAAGTCACAATTTTTTTGAACAATATAAGGAAATCACCACAAATCAATGCCAACCACAACATTTTCATGCACATAATGCATGAAAAATCACAAGACCAATTTTTTTTGACATAGTCCAATACATAGAAAATTTAATTCAAGTGGCAAATTCAACTTAGCTAATCCATTCGTCACCAAATCATAGATCATCTCCATCCAAATATCCAAGACATATATGAAAAAATAAATTACGGTTTAATTCCTTTTCATAAGCTTCTCATAGGCACCGCAGCTACATTCTTCTGACATACCTAAAGTAAACACAAGAAAACACGTTAGCAGCTAGAGACATACCTAGAGTAAACTAATCTAGTGCGGTTAGGATACATCAATTTGAACCAAGGGTAAACTACATGGCATGCCACAGCAAGCAAATTACAGATATGGAAAAGCTGCCTGTACATGTGTGCTTGCAGGTTTGCAAAAGCAAACTAAATCTTATAATTTGGCCAACCTGCCTGTAACTCAATCAAATAGGAATGGCTGGGAAGACAACAACCTAATAATTCATAAATGTACAAACAACCATTATTTAATGATATCAATGGGTTAGCTAACTTATTGTATTTATATTGATAACAAAGGCAAACAACAAGCCTACAAATTCCTATCTAGTGAACTTACTGCAGAGTTCAATTCAGTTTCAAGTGGAGAAGTTAGGACTTAAATGCAGATACATGGAACAATGCAACTAAACACTCATTACACAGCCGATCGACTGTACTTACACACCATCAGTATTAGTATCAGGGAAATATGCATCAAAGCTCAACAAGATATTTGTGGCACCAAGAATCCTTGCCAATAATGTTTAAGCATTTTCCTGAGGACCTAAACACTCATTACACTGTGGGATGAAAACGGAACGGAAATATTCTGAACCGACCGTTTTCGTTTTCTATATTATGATACTGTTTTCTATATTATGATACCGTTTCCGAATTTCATCAACCATAAAAAATTGTCAGTTTCAATTGGTTTCACAACCATTTTCAACCATTTTTTGTACTCTTTAATTGCTAAAATGTAGAAATATCCCGAACCGACCACTTTTGTTTTCTATATTGTAATTCCGTTTTCGACCGTTTCCGACCGTTTTCATCCTCAGCCTATCAACTGTACTGAACTAGGAGGACTTACGAAAGAAGTTTTATAGCCTCGCAAATTGAATAGGCGCTCGATTAAACAATTCAAGGAGGACTTACGAAAGAAGTTTTATGGCCTCGCAAATTGAATAGGCGCTCGATTAAACAATTCAGTCCTGTCAAACCAAGAAATCAGGCGCTCCTCTGTCTAATCGAATGGACTTACGGGATAAAATGCACCCAAGACGATATGTAGCCCAATAGGACATAATGTAGCAATACCACAATTTTCAGACATGAGGTAAGGTTGTGCATCATCCGCGAAAGTAGAGCATAAGCGATTAACGCCTATACCTCGCTAGAGACTGATATAAGCTGCAACGCGCAAGGTACAATACTGAGGCTAATAAAATATATTTATAGGAAAATAAGATTGCAAATCGCAAGTTCGCAACAGCTAAACAACAGAACATGGGGTGAATATTTCTTGAGAGACTAGCAGCATGGGGTGATGTCCCTGGATCCATCGAGAAAAATAAAAACGACAAGCAAGCATCCAGACCTAAGGAAACGCTCTAATCCTTTGACAACTAGTACTAGATTAGAGATGCCATCATGGAGACGGTTGGGAGAAGAAAAGTTGGAAACGAAAGCAACATGCCCCCGCCGGCGCAACCAGCAGCTTGATCTTGGCAGGACAAGGAGGAGAGAGGAAGGGCTCACCAGATCTTGCGACGAGGCCAGTCAGTCACGGAGTAGTGGTGGAGCCATCACGGTCGGGTCGGCGGGCGGCGGACGAAGAGCTGTGCGAGCGGTCGCGATTCGCGAGCGGATGCACGGGGCGGAGTGGGGAGGAAGATGTGGCCATCCACAGTCCCAAGATCCACAAGAAACAGGTGAGGATAGGATCAGGAAACCCTAGATGCGGTGCAGGGAGATGCAACTGGAAGCGAGCTCACCTGCGGAGACGGAGGTGCTGGTGCCGAAGGTGATGGCGACGGAGGAGAAGTCGAGGCGACGACGGAGGGGCGGCGACGGAGGAGAGTCGAGGGGAGGCGGAGGGGCGGCGATGGGAGTCGAGTCGCGAGAGGGAAAGGGACGGGAATGACGCCGGGTGTCTCGAGGCCAGACAGATTTCCCCGTGAAAACCCAGCTCCCGCGGGGCCGAGACACCCGTGTCGCGGGCTTCCAAATCGACCCGAGCGGCGGCCGTGGAAATTCGCCGCGTGGAATTTTACCGCGGGGAAAAGCCCGGGTTCCCGCCGGGGAAGGCTGCTGCCAAAGTATTAAGGGGCCGTTCGGTTAGGCGTTCCCGACTGGGAACATTTCCGGCCTTTATAAAGTATTAAATGGTTTCAGGCTTGGAACAGTTCTAGACTATTTCGGGCTAAAAATGAACGGACCCTAAAAGTTAAGGGACTGTTTGGAATAAAGGAATAGATACACTGAAATTGAACAAAACATAGGAATAGTAAAGGAACGAACAGAAAAACAGAGGAATGAAAAACATAGAAAATTTTCAAGATAGGTGTTTGGAATGCAGGAATGAAAAGAGAATAGTAAACTTTGAAACTTGATTGCATTATTAACTTTTTGATACTAATCTAATCCTGAAGAAAATATAGACTAGTTTAGGACATATAATATATATAAACTAGAGAGAGAGAGAGCCATACTACCTACTAAGGCTCCGTTCCGCTGGGCTGGTTTTGGCTGGGCTGATTAGCCCAGCCGTTCGGTAAGCTAGGTGCAGCCGTTTGGCTGACCTAAAAGCCAACCTCTCGGCCGCGTTCGCTGCTCCCTCCCTCATTCCGTTCCCCAGGTCGCCGCGTCGCTAGGGTTTGCGCTGGCTCGTCCCTCATCCTCTTCGCTCCGCGCGGGCCGCGTCGGCCCTGGGATGCGCTTCGCTATGCCTGCCCCGGCGGCAGTCAGCGGATACCTCACCGCCCGCCTCTCGTCGCCTTGAGGGCGCCCCCTCGCCGTCGCAGCCTCCGCGACGAACGTGAGCTCCGCATCCCTCCCAGAAACCCGCTGCCATCGACGCCCGTCCGTCGGCAACAAGGTACCCCGGATCCAAGGCCGCCGTCGCCCCGCTTTCCGGAGCTGACCCCGTGCTCGTTTTGCAGGTTTACCCCGAGCGCCGCCCACGGATCCGCCTAGCAGCTCGTCGGAATCACCGTGCCTGGACCGGCGCCTGTCATCGGATTCGTCACCGCTTTCCTCTCTACGCTGTGAGGGCGCCCCCCTCGCCGTCGACAACCTCTGCTGTGAACCTGAGCTCCACATCCCTCCCAGAAACCCGCCGCCATCGATGCCTGTCCGCATCAAGGTACCCACAGATCTGAGTCTGCCTTCGTCCCCCCTCCTCCGGATCTGACCCCCACGTGATCGTGTTGCAAGTTTACCTCGAGCGCCGCCCATGGATCCACCTCCTAGCTCGTCGGAATCGACTGCCGCCTCGCCAGATCCGGGGACCCAAGGTTCGCTCTCGTGCACCTACGTCTATTTTCTGTTTGTTTCTCGCAGTGCATCGCTCTCATTCGAACTATTCTTGTCGCTGCAGCGATTTCCTGTACATGCGAACGACTATTGCTCAACGCTGCCCACACTGGCAGCGTCCTCCACTTCATCGTGCTCTTCACCTGAAGTCAGGCACTACAATCTCCGTTCAAAACACGCCAAGCATTTTGCCAAGGCAAGTCCCCATTTTCGTAGGCTAGAACTGTGATGTGTATAACTC